AAAATTGTCATTTCACTCCCTTCTTCTTCATTCTCCCTTTCTTCTTCGTTCTTCTTCTTCTTCGCTCACCGGCGGCCGGAAAAAGGAGAAGGAAACGGCGTTGTCGGCAATGCTTTAGTGGTCAGACAATTTTACCCTCATGCGTTAGTTGTCGGCAATGCGTTGTCGGAAAAACAAAGAATGTTGAAGTTGAAGCAGAGAAGTAGCAAGGATGTTGTGAGGAAGAAGGTGTATGCATGTTTGCCCAGAAACTAACTGCGTCCACCATGACCCATCTAGAGCCCTGGGAGACCTCACTGGGATTAAGAAGCATTTCTGCAGAAAACATGGGGAGAAGAAGTGGAAATGTGACAAATGTTCTAAGCGTTATGCGGTTCAGTCTGATTGGAAGGCTCACTCTAAAACCTGTGGAACAAGGGAATATAGATGCGAATGTGGAACCCTTTTTTCTAGGTATTCTAATCTTTAACTCTTCACCCTTTTCTTCTAATTTCTTGACCAAAAATGGGTTCAATTATATTAGTTTTGATATGGCAGGAGGGATAGTTTTATCACACACAGAGCTTTCTGTGATGCATTAGCAGAAGAGAGTGTCAGAGCCATTACTGGGAATAATAGTAATAATAATGCATTTCATCATCATCATCTCAACTCTCAACCCCGTTCCTCACCGGCGCCGCTCAGTAATAATATAAGCCTCCATTTTTCCGGATGAAGAAGAAGAAGAACGAAGAAGAAGGGGGAGAATGAAGAAGAAGAGAGTGAAATGACAATTTTACCCTCGTCAACAAACAATTTGAACCAATTTATGTTTTTCCGGCCAAAATTGGCCGGCAATTTGGCCCGGAAGACCAAATGTGCCAAAAAATGCATAGTTAAAGGTTTAAATTGGGATTTTTGAAAGTCACGTACTCAAATTGTCAGTATCCTAACACTCACAGGACCAAAAGTGCAATTTGTTCTATACTTTTTTTTATACCCCAAATAAGTTGATTAATCCAAAGACAATTGGATTCTAAGCCACGCCCAGAATTTCTAGAAATGAAATATTTATAATTGCGTAAACAATCTCTGAATCTCATTAGAGGCCCATCTTTTTCCTTTATAAATTATAATTTTGGCCAAATCCCAATTTTATGTATACTATATCCAGTAGGACTTCTTTGACGGACGTACGTGGACCTCAAGTATAGTTCCACGTACCATACAATCAGCCCTTATCTGCATTCACAATTCTATCAACATAAGGTTCCAGCCACATAATTAACCATAAAACCAGCACTTGATATGGACTAAATAACAAAATTGGAGTTAGATGCATTCAAATTCCTCATTCTGCAGCTATAAATAATAGCTCATATTCACTGCTTTGCATCCCCAACCATCCGAGAATAGACCAACTTCCTTCAGGTAAATCTCAACTTTAATTTCTACCCCATATGTATATCTGTGTATTTAATTTTTTTGCAGCTTCCATGTACAACGGGAATTGGAGACACCAAACAAAGAGAATTGATAGCATTGGATGGGACTCCCTGGGAATCGATTTTCCTCCCGGCTTTCACGCTACTACTTGGACTCTCGCCATTTTCACGAACACTGGACTAGGAACTGTTTGGAATCTTGCCATTTTCACGAACACTGGACTAGGAGCTGCTTGGAATATCGCCATCTTCATAAACAATAGACCGGGAACTGCTTGGAATATCGTCATTGCTTGGATCACCATTTTCACCAACAGTGCAACGGAACTTTTTGAAAATTGATTTTTCATAATGTTTTCCACCACTGTTAGGACTCGCTGCCGCTACTGACCACCGTCATCGGAGAAGGAGCACACGCCATAGAGTCTCCTCAGGATGTTGCTCCGGCACGTCACTGTCTTTGTCAACGAAGAAGAAACACTTGGAAATTGATTTTTCCAGACTTGTTTTCTATCTTTGCTCGGACTCGCACCGTCGGTCGCTGTCATTGGGGACAGGAAGCTGCTGGCACGTCACCGGACACATGCTCCTGTGGCCCTCCATTCTCATCGCATACCTGGAAATGAAGGGAAAAGGAATCACGCCGGCGATCTAGTATCGCATCGGACATCTGATGTGCTCACCGGGCATGTGCTCCGGCACGTTGCCGTCATCAATGAGCTCGTCGAAAGATGATGCGTATTATTGTTGACAATGACACCATTTGGAGAGGAAAGCTACTGGATAGCCTTGTGCTTCGGGGCGTTGCCGTCGGTTCATCGACGGAGAAGATGGAACCACTATGGGCGTTGCTATTCATGGACGAGGCTCTGGAATTGAAAGGCTCATATTACAGTCTTTTACTTTGCTTTCGGTGTATTTCAGGAGTTCGTCGTGCACCATAGGATCGTCATCGGAGGACCGATTGCTTTGGGAGAAAATACAGTGTTGCTCGTGAACTCGACAGAGAAGAATTGTTTATTGAAGCTTCGCTGCGAGACCGCTACAGAGGTATGAGCTTTCCTTATATGCTTTGCAGGGATTATGTACATATATCTCACACTCCTTATTTCTCTTGTGCACATATATATATATGCACATGCATACTGTATGTTTGCCGTGCATATACCATATATAATATATATTTGCTTTTCACTTTGTCCTTGTTTTCGTGTAGTAGTGTGTATGTATACATAATATATACGTGGCCCACGTACTAGCTTTAAGCTTTGCATGCACTGTAAATATATTACTCCACTGGTCCATGCGACTGTATATATATGTATACAATATATATATATATATATATATATATATATATGTTTGGCATTTTCACTTTGCGGATCATATACATATGTACGTACATAATATATGCTTGGTGACGTTGGTGCCCATATGTACATACTCCATGTTTGCTTTCATATTTTGTGTGCATCACGTACATGCATGGACGGAGCCAAAGGGGGGTAGGGGGTCAGCTGGCCCCCCTCACCCCACCCCCACCCCATATATAATCTGTGTATGTATATATGTATATATAGTACATGTTTGAGTATTTGTCTATTAAAACTATTGGTTGTTAATAAGAAATGAGTTAGATTAGTTGGTAAAGCATGTGCTTAGTTATATTAAAGGTGGTTTGATTCCTTCTATTGTCAATATAATTTTACAATTTTTTTTTGACTCCTTCCCTATGGTTTTAACAACTTTCACGTTTTAATAATTTTTTTAATATTTAAAACATACACATACATACATATATATTCAAATTATTTTATCAAATTAATTATGTTTCATATTTTGTTATAAATATTTTTATAAAGTTTTGATATGTTTTATTTTTCGCCCATACCCAATAATATTTATACATATACGGAGTATTTCTTAGATAATTTATTTATTTATTAAATATCTCTTTTATTTTAATGTTTCGCTTCTACGGGAAAAAATTTCTGAATCCGTCCCTATTTTGCCCCCCCCCCCCCCCCAACAAAATTCCTGGCTCCGTCCCTGCGTACATGATATATATAATATATTATACACATGCACAATTAATGTTTAAGTTGTGCGCATGTGTATATATAAATATATATAATGTGATGCAACATTTTTGTGGCAAAATATTTTTTAGCCTCAGCATGAGATTGTAAAAGACAATATGTCATGTGAAGGAGTCTTGATGGGTATGAGGCAGTTTCGAATCGTGCCAGGGAATCTTGAAAATGAGGCAGTTTCGACTCGTGCCAGGGAGTATCCTGTAGCTTCTTCCCTTTAAAATTTCATGAAGGGTTTGCTCCTATGGCTGTGATTATGACACTTCTATCGCTTCTGAGGCTATTGAGAGTTCAGTCTCAAATGCCAAGGTAGAAGTCTCTCTCATCCAAGGGTTGACTCTGTTGACTCCGGAAGATGGGGAGAGCTTGAATGAAGCCAAGAGAAGCTTGGAGGCATGTAAGATGACATGCTTAGCTTTAGGCTTTTCATCGACTGATGTTATTTTTCCTTTAGTCGTTTTTTCTTTTTGGTTGCAAGACTGTTGTTGTTTCTTTCCTCAACTCTTGATAATTGAAAGCTTCTCATTTTTGCGCTTTTTTTTTTTAGCAATCACTCGTACATCTTTGCATTGACATGTTGAATGATTGTCCTTCTACATCACTCTTGCAACATGAATTGGATTTGTTTTGTTATGACTGATCTTAGATAGTTTGATTTCTAAGCTGCCTACGTACTCCCATGAAGGAGATCAAGTCAAACGTAGTTCAAATAATTTTTTTTAAGTAGAGCTATTCACAATTTCAACTCATGCGGGGCAGGAGCGTCGATGATTTGGGCCCACCCATAGACAAAGCGAGATGCATTAGCAGTTTAACCACGTGCTGCATTTTTTGTGGATGAGTCGTTCATCATATTTCTACGACTTGTGCTAACACCCCAAGTTTAAGGGTGTTAAAGCTTTAGGAATCTTCCATTAATTGGATCGATTTTGAAGCCATCTTCACTAATTAGCTTGTAAGCCCCACCGGTGTAAACTTCTAGAATCACGTAGGGACCATCCCACCTTGAAGTGAACTTGTGGCCGGTTTTTCTTGTGACAATGATGGGCCTGCGAACAGCTAGGACTTTATCGCAAATTTGAAAGGAAAGGGTCCTTACCCTTTTGTTAAAAGCTCTAGACATGCGAGCATGATATCACTCCAAGCTTTGTTGCGCCTGCAAACGTTTTTCATCCAAGGCTTATAACTCAGCCAAGCGCAACTTAGCATTTTCTTCATCAGTGAGGCTCTCTTTTATGGCCAACCTTAAAGAAGGTATTTGGCGCTCTAAAGGCAAGACCGCTTCTACACCATACACCAAAGAGTATGGAGTGCTTTGAGTAGGTCTGCGGTGTGTGGTTCTATATGCCCACAAAGCTTCTTCCATTCTGTCATGCCAGTCTCTTTTTTATTTCGAGACCACTTTCTTCAACAAATTGCATAGGGTCTTGTTAAATGCTTCGGCAAGCCCGTTTGCAGCTGCATAGTAAGCTGATGAGTTTCGCTACTTAAAGTCAAAAAGCTTGCAGATCTTGTCCATCAACTTGTTGTCAAAGGGTTTCCCGTTATCTGTTAAGATATATCGTGGGATACCAAATCGATAGACGATATGGACACAGAGAAAGTCTGCAAAATTTTCTTTCTTCACCTCCTTCAAAGCCACGGCTTCAGCCCACTTTGAAAAATAATCGGTGGCAGCTAGTATGTATGCATGCCTTGCAGATGACTTAGGTGTAATTGGGCCAACTACATCGAGTCCCCATGCATCAAATGGCCAAGATGCAATTGTTGGGTGTAGAGGTTCTGGTGGTTGATGGAAAAAGTTTGCATGATATTGACAAGCTTGACACCTTCGAGCGTAGTCTATGCAATCCTTTACCATTGTAGGCCAATAATAGCCCATTCGCTTAATATGGAAATGTAACTTGGGACCGGATTGATGTGCACCGCAAACCCCAGAATGAGCTTCTTGCATAGCTTGTAAAACTTCCTCTTTCCCTAGACATCGGAGAAAGACTCCCTCGAATGAACGACGATACAACGTTTCTTTATAGTAGATGAAGCGAGGAGCTCGACGCTTTATATCCACCCTCTTACGCGGATCTTCGGGTAACTTTCCATCAGTGAGGTAGTCAACCAGCGGTTGCCTCCAGTCGTCCTTGCCTATATCATAAACTGAGGCAGTAGGGAGTTCAACAGTTTCATCAATTGATCTGTCTTCATTGAAGATTGGCGGAACTACCCACCTTTGACATACTTGTACTCTGGCTGCAGGATGAGCAATAGTTGAAATCAATGCAGCTAAGGCGCCAGCTTGCTTGTTTTCTTTCCTCGGTATATGTTCAATTGTGACGTCCCCTAACCATTGCATGAGTATCTTTGCATAGTTGTTATATGGGACTAACTTCGCCTTTTCCACTTCATATAGACCCAACACTTGGTTTATGATCAACTTTGAATCTCCATAAATGTTAATCCTCAGCTATTTCATGTCAGCCACTATCTCGAGCCCAAGTATCAATGCTTGGTACACAACAACGTTGTTTGAACATTGTTCAGTCAAGGTGAATGAATATGGCAACACCTCGCCTTCTGGAGTGACGAAGACAACTCCAGCTCCTGCCCCTTCTCTATGCGAAGCTCCATCAAAGTACATATTCCATGGGGGTAGGACTTCAATGACAAGCACATCTTCATCAGGCAAATCGTTAGACAACTCCCATTCAGCAGGTATTGGGTGATCTGCGAGGAAATCAGCTAAGCCTTTCCCCTTGACAGACTTCTACGACACATAAATGATTTCAAATTGGTGAAACAGTAAGTACCACCTTGCAAGGCGGTCGGAGAGCACGACCTTCGCCATAACATACTTCACCGGGTTCGCCTTGGAAACAAGCCGAATGGTATGAGCCTCGAAGTAGTGCTTAAGTTTTTTTATGGCGAACACCAGTGCCAAACACAACTTTTCAATTGGGGAGTACTTTAACTCGTTCGGGGTCATCATTCTACTAAGATAGTAGAGAGCATTCTCCTTCCCCTTTTCATTTTCCTGAGCAAGCAAGGAGCCCACAGAACTATCTTGGGCGGAGATATAGAGGATTAGTGGGCGACCATGAATAAGAGCGGTTAGCACAGGCGGCTTCATCAAGTATGAATTAATACTCTCAAATGCGTTCTTGCATGCCTCATCCCATATGAACGGGGTGCCCTTTTTCATCAACCGACTAAAAGGTTGACATCTTCCTGCTAGGTTTGATATGAACCTTCGGATATAAGCTAACTTACCATGTAAGCTTTTAAGCTCATGAAGGTTTCTTGGCTGGGCATTTTTATTATGGCATCGATTTTGGGTTGCTCGATCTCGATGCCCCCGTTTCGAACAGTAAACCCGAGGAACTTTCCAGCAGCAACCCCAAAAGCACATTTCAAGGGGTTCATTTTAAGTTGAAACTTCCGTAGGCGGTCGAAGACTTGCCTTAAATGCACCAAGTGATTTGTGCGCAATTTCGACTTCACAACCAAGTCATCTACGTAGCATTCGACCATTTTGTGCAGCATATCGTCAAATATTGTCTGCATAGCCCTTTGGCATGTAGCACCTGCATTTTTCAAACCAAAGGGTATTACTTTGTAACAGTAGATGCCTTTCGGCGTTCGAAATGCAGTTAAGTCTTCATCCTTTGGCGCCATGCGGATTTGATTGTAACCAGAGGGAGCCATCCATGAATGACATGATCTCATGTCCAGTTACGGCATCTATCATTAACTCCGTGATAGGAAGCGAGAAGTCATCTTTTGGGCATGCAACATTGAGGTCCCGAAAATCTACGCAGACACGGATCTGGCCGTTCTTCTTGCGCACGGGCACAATGTTGGATATCCAGGTTGGATATTTAACTTCACGAATGAAGCCAGCCTCTATAAGCTTATTAACTTCTGTTTCAATAGAGGGAATGAGCTCGGGGCAGAAGCATCGTTGAGCTTGCTTAACCGGGCGACACCCCTTCTTCACTGCTAAGCGGTGCACAGCTACCTTTGGGTCTAACCCTGGCATTTCCTTGTATGTCCATGCAAAGACATCAATATATTCTTTCAGCAATGTGACATAGATTTCTTCATCTTCATCAGAAAGAAGTGCGCTAATGAAGATAGGACGGGGATTTTCGGGAGTTCCCAAATCGACTTCTTTTAATTCATCCACTACAGCTCGTACCCCTTCTTCTAACTCATGGGGTGCCTCTTCTGCATCTTCTCCCTCAATCGGCGTCTCATCACATAAAGTGATATGGAAGGACGATGCCACCTCTCCCTGAGTAGTTGGTGGTACGTCATCACTTGAGCCTACGCTTTCCTCATTTTCTTCTTTATGTAGACGAGTGTGTACAATGGTCTTCGGTTGGACTTTCAACACTTCACCACATGAAACATGAATATATGTTTCTTGTATCATCCGAGAAGGAATCATGCTTCTAAGCCTCTTGGAAGGCTCAATTTCATCAGGAAGATGGGTATTGTTTTTCATAACTTGGATAGCTCCAAGTCGATCATGTATTGACTTTCTCTTTGGGGCTTTAGGACTTGACCCCAGTCTATCAAAAGATTGAGCGTCGAGAGTCCGCCTTATCAATTCGGTCGAAGACTGACTTCTTTTTGTCTTGCCCATTATCATTGGTAGGAGTGAGTTTTGGATCGTACTCACTTTCATACGCGGAGATACAATTACTTGTAGCCTTGTTTATAAGAATTTGCACTGGTTTAGGAGGGACATAACTCAACCCTTTGCGTGTTTGAGGTTCTTGGTGATTTGCCTTGCCTTTACCACCGGCTTCTGGGATAAGCTTTCCCAACTTCTGTGGCTCATTGGGGTTATAGCCAGCTTTGGCTAGAAGCTTATAAGCGTTAGGGTCGAAACCCTCGGTACGTTTTGTGGGGAATACTTGGCCCGCTTTATCACTATTTCTCTCCTTGGATGATTTTGCTGCACTTGCTTTAAGTGTATCAATCCGTGCAAGCGGGAAGATGAGTTTTGTGTTGGGTTGATTTCCCTCTACAACTTGCTTTCCTTTTGACTTTTGTTGGAAAGGTGGGTTGTCATTGCTTTCCTCAACATCTTCAACAATAACTTGCATTTTAATATAGAACTTTGCGTTTGCAAAGTAAGACTCAGCCTCTGTGAAAAGACTTTCATCGGTGACTAACTTTTCAATTGCACCGTTCTTTTCAAACATAAGGCATTGATGCCAAGACGAGGGTACCACCCCATTTTCATGTATCCATGGCCTTCCAAGTAACAAGTTATAAAATGTCCTTAGCATCTATGACATGGCAGAGGACACCTGAACTCAGGCTTCTAATTCTTAAGTCAAGTCTGATGATGCCGATTGCTCTTTGCCCTCCTTGGTTGAAGCCTTATATCATTAGACGACTTTGGACAAGCTCATCTGTAGATACATCAAGGTCCTTCACAGCTCGAAGGGATAGGATGTTGACAGCTGAGCCTTGATCAACCATAATTCTTTTGAGCTTTTGCCCACGGGTATAGCCTTCAACAAATAGTGGGCGATTGTGTGGCGTGCCTCCAAGTAACAAGTCTTCATCCTTGAAGGTAATTTCTGTGGAGTAGGAAGTAGCCTTATGCATTAGCACTTCCTCATCCTCGATGTGTTTGGGAGACGAACATTCCCCTCTATCTTCTGGCTTGTCATTTGTATTTAGGCAGGAGCTAGCAATGTCTACCCCTTGAAGATTAAATCCTTTTGGCATATATTGAGCTAAAGGAACTGGTGCTCGTGTTTGCTTGACATGCCCCTTCTCAACCCAACTTCTCGCTGTGTGCTTAGGATGTCTCCCAGGCTCAACTTTCTTCTTTCTATGAGTGATAATGACCCATTTTCCTTCAGATGTGTTATCATTTTGCCGTGGTTCTGAACTTTGACCAGCAGCATGCTTAACATTGAAGGGGAGTGGACGTTTCCGTTGTTTCCCATCTTCCTTTTCAGTACACAGCGGAGCGAACTGTCCGAGTGTAATCGAGATTTGATTCGAGCTCGCGTTAGCATCAGCAAGCTCAATTTTTCCATCCCTGGCCAGTGCCATAACTTTGTCTTTGAAGATAAAGCATTTCTCAATTGGGTGACCGAGAAGACGGTGGTACTTGCAGTAATTTGGGCCATCCACCCTTGTAGCTTCATCAGGACGTTTGATATCCGGCAACTCAATGAGTCTAAGTTTGAGTAGCTCATCAAACATGGGAGATGCATCGGAATCTATGAAAGGATAAGTCTTCTCCTGCCTTTCTTCAATTGTCGGCCTTCTACCACCCCTTGACGGGCCAGAAAATGGTCGTGGCCTAGGTCTTTTAGTTGCTCTAGCGAAAACTGTAAACGCGAAAAACTTGAATTGGCGTGGCCTTCACATTCATGACTTCCTTCTTTTCTTGCTTTAGAAATGATTTGTTTACTTTTTTAACTTCTTGTTTTCCAGGAGCCTTGGAGGAGCTAGGCAAGCTCAATACGTTGAGCCCTCCACTAGCTTCGATGCTCAACTCCATGTCGTGAGCGCGACTGGACAACTCTTCAAAGGTCTTTGGTTTAATCCCTTGCAAGATATAGGAGAGTTCAAAGTGCATGCCTTGGATGCACATCTCAATTGCAAAACTTTGGGATATTCTTTCTTTGCAATTTAAGCATAGTTCCCTCCATCTTTCGATGTAAGCACCGGCGCGTTCATCCTTCCATTGGCGAGTAGTGGTGAGTTCCAAGAAGCATACCGCTCTCCTTGTACTATAGAAGCGGGTTAAGAACTCACGTTCCATGTCATGCCAGCTATTAATGCAGCCGAGCTCGAGGTCGGTGTACCAATCAAACGCAGTTCCCTTTAATGAACGGACAAACTGCTTTACTAATAGATCGTCATATGTCCCTGCATCATTGCATGTTTCCACAAAGTGGGCAATGTGCTGTCGAGGGTTTCCCTTGCCATCGAATTGCTGGAACTTAGGGGGTTGATAGCCGTGTGGCATCTTCAACTCCTCAATTCTTTGTGTGTAGGGCTTAGCATAGGAATATGAGGTTGGCCTTAATCCAACTTACCTTTGATGGCCCCCATTATGTAGTCCTTCAACTGATCCACCGGTATCATGCCTTCGGTAACTGGAATAGTTTTCTCAGTTGGAGGTAAGTGGGAAGCAGCTTCTCCCACTGCATGGCTAACAGAAGGTGGTGGTGATTGCTGACCAACCTCTTCTTGCCCCTCATGTTGCTTTCCTAGAGCACGGCTTCCTTGTCCCTCCATGATACTCCCTACCCTATCATCGAGGGTGTTAAGCCGTTTGTCTTGACTTTAGAGGGCGACAACCATTCCTTCCAGAGACTTAGCAATTCTAGCTAATTGCTCCTCCACATATTCTGTGTTTGTCGTCATGGCAGGCATGACATTGTAAACATGCGACCACTCAGGTGCAGCCTTCCATAATGGATGTGGCGGAGTTACGGGGGAAGTGCTCCTGCTACTAGCATTCCCTTGCATGGAAGTTGGACTACTACCATCGGTAGCTCCCTTGGGAGAGGGTGGACTTCCAGCAAAAGCAATTGCCTTTGAGGTGGCAGGGGCCTTGTCGAGCCTTCGAACCACCCGTCGTGCCATGGACTGAGGTTCATGCACTTGGATTGGAACCCCAAATCCTTTGCGCAGTTCCTTGTCAGCGGACCTTGCGTTTTCTGGGTAGTGCCAGAGCTAGCTACAGGCGTAGACTTGGACTTGGTAGCTTGGGCATAGGTCATCCTAAACATGGGATTGTTCGATGCCATTTGATGCAAAGGTAGAGGTATATTAGTAGTAGAGAGATGAGAGGCAGAGTTGTCCCACTGGGCGTGCCAAAATATGTAAACGCGAAAAACTTGAATTGTATATATTCAAAATTTAAAGTATCGGTTACAATGAAGTATCAAGTATATATCAAACGGGAAGGGGTACAATCTCTGTATAGGAGAAGTCCTCTGATTCTCTACTAGAACTCTAGAAGTATGCCTATTAGAAGTATGCCGAATTGGGAATATGCCGAATTGGAAGTGTGCCGAGTCCAGAGTATGCTGAACTTGAAGTAGTTCCTTGTTGGAAGTATGCCGAGTTCGGGAGTGTGCCGAGTTCAAAGTATGCTGAATTGGAAGTATGCCGAGTCCGGGAGTGTGCCAAGTTCAGAGTATGCTGAACTGGAAGTATGCCGAGTTCGGGAGTGTGCCGAACTGGAAGTAGTTCCTTGCTGAAGGGCCTCCGGAGTTAGTAGCTTGTTCCTCAATGAAGAGCTAATATGTAGCTTGATCTTCAAAGAAGGGTTTCCGGTGTTCAAATGGTGTGTTCCTCAGCGCAATATACGCAGTTGTACTGCGGGCGTGTTCCAGACGATATCCTGGCGAGATTTCGGCAGAGCTTCGGTATGCAGATTTCCAGCGCCCATTCTTTGAAAATGAAACCACTATTAATAGTGGTGAGGGTGAGGGAAAATCTCCAACCAAATTTTAATTCCTAATTTAATTTAATTATTTTAATTAAATTAAGGAACGTATCAGGACAATATTGCGTCCGGGTTCATCATTTCATCAAATTTCAAATAATATCAAATATCCAAATTCTTCAAAATTATATAATCCACATATAATTTTAGTGGGCCAAAAACCAAGTCAAACCCGCTAATTAGGCAACCCAATTAATCCAAGCAACCTGGTCCGACTCAATTAAATATTCCACAAACTTGGGCTGAACAATCCAACATTCAATTACATTCAATTAAGTAATTAAACCAATTAATTATTTAATGGGCCATTTAATTAACTCAATTAAATAAATATTAGTCCGATTAGCTTAATTAAAGTAATTAATTTAGCAATCAATTATGCACCACGGTCCAACAATATTATTTAAATTTTCAATGCTTACCATGCTTTTCATCTTCAATTTATGGAACGGAAGAGGTGGATTACCGGCAGAAGCAGACCCATCCAATAGAAATAGCGTCATCCAACCCGCACGGGCTTAGCTCAATGGTTTAGTGGGCAGTATTTGGGGTAAGAGATCAAGGTTCGAACCTCGGCGGCGGCAGTGTTGAAATTATGTCCAAAGTGGGCAGATTCCTTGTGCGCACCGGCATCACCGGGGGCCTAAGAATCGACAGAGTGTGGGGGGCCTTTTTGGAGTAAGAAATAGCGTCATCCTACGGAGAGTGTGGGGGGCCCTTTTGGAGTAAGAAATAGTGTCATCCTACGGAAGAAAGAAGAGTCACCGACAGAGTGTGGGGGGCCCTTTTGGAGTAAGAAATAGCGTCATCCTACGGAGAGTGTGGGGGGCCCTTTTGGAGTAAGAAATAGTGTCATCCTACGGAAGAAAGAAGAGTCACCGACAGAGTGTGGGGGCCCTTTTGGAGTAAGAAATAAGAAGAGTCACCGTAAGAATCGACAGAGTGTGGGGGGCCCTTTTGGAGTAAGAAATAGTGTCATCCTACGGAAGAAAGAAGAGTCACCATACGAA